TTTAGCATCATACTTGTACATCGCATAATATCGTACACAAATTGAATGTAAAAAATATTATTATTCACGATAATACGCATTATATATATAATATGATATGCCTGTACCTTGTATTATACGCCTACCGACATACAAATATAATATCGTTTAAACGTTATGCGTCTTAGAAATATTGCTATTTGATATACATTCCGTTTTTTAATAAATCTATTTAACCGTGTTAAATCGTAAAAAAAAAAAATGCCCTCGGTTCTGGTTATCAACGAATGCAGTGGTCTTTGAAATCAATACTAACACAGAATCGCGGACGTCATAATAATAAAAATGCGCATTTTTTGCATTTCAGATTCTTTTTAAAAACGTTATCGGTCCGTGTATGTGTCAGGTCCAACAATAATACTACAACTCGGTGGGGGGAGGGGAAATCACTAAAAAATTTATAATTTATTAACAAAGAATTATTATTTATAAATGTTTTAATGTATATGAGGGGAATGGTCCCTATGCCCCCCCCTAAACACCGTGCCTGGTTCGGGGCTTGTTGCACTATAAACAATCGGAATATGCATGCAAATGTACCAGTCAAAAACATCAAAATATGCAGGTAAATTTTTTATTTTATTTCCGAAAAAACGCATGAAACATATTATAATATCACAGAAATAAAAATCTCAACAATAAATAGGTACATAATAAAAATTGTCGATAACGAGGTTGAATGTAAAGATAAAGAGACACGTATCTACGACCTACCTACCCAAAGTAATTTATTAAAAGAAATATTTTATAATGTTATCCAAAAACGATTTTCCCGACAATTTAAAAAAAAAATGCGAAATATGCACTTTTCCTAAAACATGACAAATTATGCGAATGCATGCAAATCCAATCCCTGTATTTAATTTTCGGAATTTATTAAAACCAATTTATAGCCCACCTAGAACAATCTACGACCATTGCAGAAAAAGAAAACATGCGCATGCAAGAAGGCCCGAACCCTAATAGTATATGTTATTTTATAGCAATTTTTCGGTGTTCGGCTTCACTCCGTGCGTTTGTGTCTTCAACATTCCATTTCAGTAGGGAAGACAAATCGCGTACCTACCCAACATTGATGCTTCGTGATTCAACTCCGGTGGTTATGTTTTCTACGTAGTTTTTCCCTTCGACGCGTTCCCCTGGCCACTATTCAACATGATCAATTTCTATAAATCTTTGTGCGCGGGAGAATATCACGGTCAGACACAGTTGTCGATGAAAATGTCAAAAATAAACTCGATCCCTTACCGGGGACACATAGTGCCCGTGGACTATATCGTGTGCACATCGTACGCGCGCACGCGTGTAAACATCGTGTTCGCGAAATCCGTAAATTATTATTATTATTGTTATTATTTTTTACTATCGTGTATATAAAAATATCGAATAAAAAAAATATACACGAAGGTGTATAATATATTTATGTATCCGTGTACAATATAAATTATTGCGTACATGTATGTTGAAAAAAAAAAAAAAAAAAAAAAAACATTATCGTAAAAATGAATGATTGTAAAGCGCTCGGCAGCTCGGTCGTCATGACGCAGCGGTACCTGCGGCATTGTGAATTGCGAACGTATTATTATCATTGTGATTTTAACGTAGTACGACATATTTTTCGCGCTGCGCGTTATAATAATAATATAAAATATATTTTTATTTTTGAAGAATTCGCCTCCTGAATGAAAATTGCCGTTAAAATTCGTTTTACAACCGATGCGCGGGGAACAATAGAGCCGCGCGTCCATAAAGGGACCGCCGTGCGCCGAGCGCCGCGCGTGGCGTTCCAGCGATCAATAATAACAATAATAATAATAATGAAAAAAATTTAAAAAAAAAATACGACGCTTTCTCATTTTTCATATTATTATTATTATACTGTCACCGTATATTTCAAAACAATCGACAACGGGGTTTAAAAAAAAAAAAAACAGTATAAAAAAAACGTATACAGGATGTTGGTCGCTGAGCGCGCTCGTCTCATTTTTTTTTATTTTCGTTTCGTTTCGTTTAAATCTCGCGCACATTCGAAATTCCGAAACGTTCGTTCGGAATGTTTCAAGTGCAGTGTAAGCCGATATTTTCGAACACTCGGTTTTTTTCGCGACATCTACGGCGCACCCCGTGACGATAACAACGACACTGGTTTCCGCCGGCCCGTTGACGGGCTGTTCCGCTTTTAAGTCTGGTCGGAGGGAGCACTAATACCCGTGTCACCGCGCGCCGCGCCGCCACGCAAATGATACTCCGCGACTCGCCCCCCCCCCACCCCCACCCGGCCAACCCCTCGCCCGGATTTAAAAGCGTAATATCCCGTTAACGGGTCGACGGAAGTCGGACGTTTCGACACCGAGAAATTTATTCCGAGCGATACTCCGTCCGTTTCTCGAAAACCCGCGGATGTTGCGGTTGTCGGCGCAGAATACTCCGCGAACGCCGTGTTAAACCCGAGGTGTTACTGTCGGCTTTGACCGCGCGCAAAGAGCGCGGCGCTTAGTGAATCATCCCGTATGTATCCTATGAAGATACAATAACAATAACGGTTAATTCGCGTTTGTTTCGCTCGTCGGGTTTTACTGAAATCCGATAGCAACAAAGTGTGCGACGGTCGCGCGGCGTGCGCAGCAGTAATAATATACGCGGGCGTACGAAAACTGATTCGCCGTAATCGTCAAATAATATTTATGCCGTTTTCGTCAGTTTAACGGCGGAAAATGATCGGAAAATTGTACGTCGAAACATTCAACGTCGGACTGTTTGCCCGGAATATTACAAAATGCGGAACAATGTCAAACCGTAACGAACGAACCCTACGCCGAGTCGGTTGACCGTTTCTCTACTGATCTGATATACCGTCGATTATCGATGATGGCCGATCGGACGCGAGACTATACCAAAACGACCGTCCGTCCCTGTAACGCACTTGAAGGGGCGGGGGCGCGGTAGCACCACATTCTTATGCCATTTTATTGGCATTGTTTTTAAAAAAACTTGTTCGTGAATTTAGTAAATATTACGGGTTCGCAGAGCAATGTCAATAGTCTAAACTCGGAAAGACTAAAGTTTAAAAAAGGCAACAAAAGGCATTGAATTAAAATAGTACTACTGTACACCGACTTACCTATATTCTAGTGCCGACAATTTATGAACAAAAATGTTTACATCTTAATTTAATTATCTACCTAAATATTAGCGTTTTTCGATAATACGGCTAAATAAAGGATCTAGAGGACAAATTGTTAAAAATTAAAAATATAACTTGAATCAACGTGCCACGATATAGAAATTCGGCATTATAGAAAGTTCTTCAGTGAACAAATCGGAAAAAGTATTGATTATAGCGTTTTAAAAATAAAAAGTACTATTAAGTGTAAAACAACATAATCGAATAGTTTACTAACTACGATCGGTATGGCACGATATTGAGTATTATGATACGATTGTTAGAATATTTTATGAGACGTTGCCGCATTCAGCTTACCGAAATTTCGTACTTTCACGTATTATTACATCAAATGTAATGATACCAAACTTAAACGAGCCGTACGCCGAGCCCAGCTTTATCGACCGATGTTATCGGTAGCAATAAATATTAGTGTTTGTCCGCAATATACTGATTTAGATCGTGTACAATGGATAGAGCCGCAGCCTATAGATTACATATAATGTCAATGATGTGCATGTTAACGACGAGTCACCAGGTCGCAATGACGACTAGTCTCACATTTATCTAAAATTATCGACTTGTATATTTTATTCTTATCTAAAATGCATTATAGGTACTTTATACAGTTTATTATCAAATCAATGAATTCAATGAAAGTTTCAATTCATTAAAATGTATATTATTATTATTAACAGTTATTTAATATTTATCACATCATAGGGATAAATATGCGACCTGACACAGGCACGCGTGCGCACTAAAGGCAACTCATCTGGCGACTCTTCGCTAACATGTACATCAAAATATTGAGCTGTGACTCCATTCATTACATATGGTCTAAGCATACTGACTGTTATAATGGGTAAATAAAGATAATAAGTACCTAGTCCAAAATTATTATAGGAATGATTCAGTTTATGTAGTGTTCGATCATCCACAGTCATGTCACATACCTATAGAGCGTTAAAAAATGTTCAGTTTCTATTTTTTTTTTTTTTTTTTACGATAATTTTATTGGAAAGAGGCAAAGAATTGATCCTAGTGAATTTATAGAAATATAAATTGATTGGAAAGCAATTATTATTTAAATAAATAATTGTTGTACAATATAATTCAAAATTGAAAATGGTAACACCGCAGAGTTTTTTACGCTCAATTGTTTAGGTTTTCTTTTATATTTCTATATTCTTTGGTACTCCGAAAAATCTGCTCAATCATGTCGTAAAAAAAGGTGTTTAATTTTCAATCGCGTTGTAGCCAGTCATAATGAACAGCACACTGTATGTGCTATTTGAAGCCGTGCTTATGACTGAAACGTGTAGGTAGAAGAAAACCATAAATTTGTAATAGAATATCTAAATTGTGTTTGTAAATTTTTGTAAATTTAAATGTTTATATGTTTATAAGTTATAACATATTATATTGTGTAACACTATAAACTATTTACGTATTTAAAAATTAGTGTTAAAAGACTAAAACCGAAGAAACGAATCAAACATGCGCCAGTGTAATTTTCGAAATGTTTGTGTGTAATATGTTTGAGGGCTTTATGAGAAAAATGCAGAGATGACGGATTTTTATTTAATATCTGCGTTAAAATTTCAACCTAAACTATTGCGTTTATTAATATTTTTTTTTTTACTACTAAGTGCATATATTGATGAAATTCGTGTGTCGCATTGACATATTTTTTACTACTACCACTTGGTAACAGTAAAACCTTGGTAACCTATGTATACTGTTTATTGATAATATTTAATTTAATATGCTGTGCGACTATACTCGGCGGAAAAATATGCACCGTTTATTAATAATTACGTTTCCTCATTGGATTCAATTGATAGCCTACGGCGCGTTGGCTACTGCTGCCAGTTGCCTCTTATTAGATGGACTTTTTGACAAACCGGTAAACGAATCAACAAATGTGATCAGAAACATTGATAATCAATCGGTATGTAAATCTCGTATCAAAGTATTTTTTTTTTTCTTCATAATCTTGTTAATAGTTCTAATAAAATGAAAGTGTTTCAGCTCTCCATACCCCCTAGGGGGGGCATGGTGTACAGGGGGTAACAGGGTTGTATAATAGCTATCGGAGCTTAGTTCCTAATTCTGACATCCGGGCTTTTAAATGTTACTTAACTGAAGTAAAATAAAATTAATTATAAGACTTAATCGATATGACAATGATAAGATATTTGTATGTATATATTTATATTGTATGCGTCCTTACGTTGCTCTGTGTAAATCAACTATCGATATATTAGTTCCATTGTGTGTGCGTGTGTGTGTGTGTGTGTGTGTGTGTGTGTGTGTGTACGGGTGATATTATATTAACATATCCTAATTAGAAATAATCGAAATAACAAAAAGTAAGCGTTTAGCAATTTTGAATGGTTATCAAATAATAAAATACAGACGAAATAAAAACGTGCAGCTTGAGTGTGTCTGAATAAAAAAAAAAAAAACGATGTGATAACACGTTTCCTAAACCAATAAAAGTGTGAAGGAAAGTTTTATTTTAGTTTATTGCACTAGATATTATTTTGAATCATTAATGTCGTAAAATTAGACAGTATAGTTAAGTAAAAGAAAAAATCTAAGTGGCCGCAAATGTGCCGACAGCATCTGTACCGACCCGTTTTCGGGAGCAAGACCTTAACCGAGACCGTGGAAAAGAGGGTGTATGCGGTGCCTACGCCCCGGGAGCATTATCCGGGAGGGCGCGAAAGTACCCTAAGAAAACCTATATTAATAATACGTTAAAAAGAAATTAGTAAACATCAAATTTAAAATTTAAAAAATCCAATAGTGAATATGTGATAGTTGCACAAACACTCATTTGATTGTAGTTTGTAAAAATATTTAAGCTCTCTTAGTTTTCATCAGAAACTGGAGTTCGTCAGGACACACTGGGTGAGATACTCGGTTGCCACGTTCGTGGATTTTATTAAAACCGATGTTTTGCGATCAAACGGTGTACAAAATATGACAAACACAATAATCTTATTCCAAGACCTAAAGTATCTTAAAATACAAATATTATTGTATTGATATTTTGTAGAACCGTACCAAAAGATCCATGATATCAGATACTCAATATCGCGATGTCGGATACACCAATGACTTTCCGAATTCGTACGGTAAAAATTGCTTTTCTACTTACGACCAGGACTATTATATCATAGCCAAATCGGCATTTGTCGTTTTAATGAGCATCGCCTGTTTCGGACTGTTCGTCATAATCGTAATAGCTTACAAAAAATTCTGCACGTGTAAGCGCAACTGCAATTCTAAATGCCGTCAGTGTAATTTCATCGAAGACAACGAAAATGATTGTTTCAGCTTAAACAACCCTTGAAATAATACTACGCAAAGAATATATAATCTATGTTGTAAAAGTGTTTGTTATTTTTGTTTTTTTGTCTGTGCGTGATCCACAGCCGAATCGAAAAATATTTAAGGGGGGTTTAAGGTTGTACACTTTCATACTCTCATAACAAAAATGTTTAAAAACTCTCAATCGTAGGATTATTTATTTTTCATTAAAAATGTATTATAATAATATTTTATAACATTAGTTTTAGATTCTGGGTGAAGTGAGGAAAACATTGGTTTTACAATAATGTTCATTTTTTTATTTTTATTTTTTTCTATTGACAACTATTCTACCGGCAATGATTTTTCTCCGATTTATAATGATAGCATTTTTTTGAAAGGAAATCTGACAGGTGTTGTGTACCTTGAGGAAGTATTTTTTTTTTTTTGATTTTCCCAAGAATTTTCCCAATAAATGGGAAAACCCGGAAAAAAACACAGGAAAACGATAAAATTGGTACAGTGAATACATTAAAACAAACATTATTAAAGGAAATATATAATGCTTAACGCTTATGTAATTATTTTACCTTAATATGACACGTACGTTGTGGACGAAGCAATGCTATCAACCGAACTGAGAAGTTTTTCCGTTAGTTATCGTTAATCGTTGTTTACAGATATACATTAAAAATTACCTGTAACCAGTGGCTTCACTCGTCCTGCCCTAGGGCAGCTTAAAAGCATTTTACATATCTATTTACTAAATTGTACATTTAATGTTGTTTTTTGAATAAATAAAAATAAAACCGAAATTGTATTTATCCTCCTCATTAACAGAAAAACAATCTTTAGACTATTAAAAATCTACTTTCATCATAATTTTCATGAAATTTCGAGAAGGGGGGCTGGTAAACAGCTAAAATTTTCCCCTTTTATACGCGCCCGTCTTAGAATTTATATAAACAGCAGATAAACGGAACGGATCCGTGTGAACTTCAAAGCTAAATATCCGAAATTCAACCTCTAAATAGCACGCATCACACAGAATTTTTTTTTTTCTATAATCGAATTATTTCTATTGATTCGTGTTACGTCGGCGACACAAATGAAAGTAAATATGTTACCTATTATAAGTTGATTTAATTCATCAAATTCAAAAGATTTCCTCCTGAAGCACTACACCCGAAATTCAAAAAAACAAGGTCTACTTTTTGATTGATGTAAGATTTCTTTTAGAAAAATTGTTAACATTTCAAAAAATGTTTTTAAAAAGAACACTTCACAGTAAAACCAATAAATTCGTCGTTACGTTCAGAATCGTTAGGTTCGTTCAGAATCTAAAAACTCCCGACTTGCATTGGTTTTCTGGGGTTAGGTCGTACAGATATACATTCAATTTCCCTCACTACCTCTCCAATTTCTCACCTACAACAGTGGCCCGCCCATAGTGCGAAGTATTTTTGTTGGTGATAATTCGTTTCAATAGATTTTTTCGTTGATACTTTTAAGTGTAAAATTAAATTATACAAGTTATAACTTTTATAGTTTATTCTATAATATATAAGTCATAATGTATTAAGTATAAAAAATGTATGAATCGTTATAAAACGAAGTGGTTTTCCTTACTTGAAAAATTCAATTTGGTGCTGTTAAAATTATTATAATGTATGGCTATAATAATGTATCCAGTGATAAAATATATTATTACGTGAGTTTTAGGAAAAAAAATTTGACATTTCCCGGTGATTGATGCGGCTTGGTGTATGTAAAAACACGTCACGCAAGTATATAATATTATTATAATAGGCCAGAAACAGAATTTTCAACGCGTAACGAGGACAAAAAGTTCGTATATTATTCTGATATTATAATATCCGCGAAAAAATTGCCGGGTTCCTACGCGAGGAAAAGTGATTTTTTTTCTCTACATTATACCTAGTCACGAGGCCGAAGTTGATGTTCGTGTATTTTTTTATTTCTCGTTTACGGTCTAAAATTGTCAGTAGAATTTACATAGATTGCACGACCCAATTTTTCCCAAAAAAACTAATGGAATTTTCAATAGCTCGAAAGTAAATGTGTACCTAATTTATAATTTGGTACATTACTTAATTTTGAAAAACGAGGACATACTTCGCAATGTGGACAGGCCATCACTGAATAGTATAGGTGTTTAATATGAAAGGTGTATTATTATAATAATACAGGGTAATTCATAAGTACTGAAAGCAACGACAAAGAACTGCAAACGAAATACGATTCAGGGTGTAGTAGTATTAGTATTGTAAAATATTATTAGTTAATTGTAATAAGTAATAGCAATTAGTATTATAAATAATTGTAATTAATAGTATAATGTTATTCGCTTATAGCTGACGTAATCCACTAAGCCGCAAATGAACAAAAGTAAAATCGATGTATCTACATGTTTTTTATAAAAAAAACTGTATGGAAACCGTACATTTGTTCAAGTAAAGTACTACAGTGTGGCAATTGTGGATATTTTAAATTAGTGCGTGAAAAAAAAGGAGCATTTCATTCACCAAAAAACTGTTTTTTGAGTTAGAAATAAAACAGCACAATAATTTGAAAAATTGATGGATAATTCCGAAAACCTAACCATTAACTGTCCGTTAAAAAATCGACGTCTTAATCTTGTAAGATAATATGGCATGAAAAAATCGAAGCATTTTATTAAACCATAGAAATATTTATTTTTTTTAAAAAAAAAAAAAACATCTTTTAAGTACGAATTCATTTGAACAAAAAAAAGGTAAACTAAAGTTTACTAAATAAAAACCGATCAAATGGTTCCTACAAAATATAGACAAAAAATACTTATAATATTCAATAACAAAAATATTGTTTTAAAATTAAAACTGGGTTAATTTCACTCCTGATTATTGGTTTAAATCATCATATTTGTCCATGGAAACTGCGCTTCTTCTTAGATAGGTTTCAATGGAAAAGTTTTATAATTAGAATTATAAACCGTCGAAAATAATCTAAAAATGACTTTAGAAAATATATACAAATTTATTTTTTTTTTTTTTTTTAGTTGTTTTTATTAGGTAATTTATAATAAAACTTTTAATTTTATTAAAAAAATTTAAAAATTTAACTTGATGCGGCAACGTCGGTATATTGACTGACACGCATATCGCTCGGAGCTGAATTATTCATTATATTATAAATATATCGAAATATAAATTAAAATTTATGTTAAATTCTACGATTCTTGAACTATTTTACCTTATCAGTTTTAATTAACCAACCACCAAGGATACCAAATTATCTCTAGATAATATTTTAAATTAACTAAATTTAAATTTTTAAATCGTACAATGTAGATTTTATTAAAACGAACAGAATCACCGAAAAATGCTAAACAATTCTCGAAAAAAAAAAAAAAAAAAAAATATCGAAGAAAGCGAAATAAAAGTTTCACCTTGAAGTGTTACGCGAAACGAATTATGTACTCGAAAAGCGTAGGACGAGATCGCTCAAAAAAAAAAAAAAAAATTGTAGAAAATTCGGAGAGCTGTTTCCGACCGCTTTAATATAAAATATGGAGGTATATAAAGGTATGTTTCGAAACCAGAATGTTTCTTTTTCCTTCTGTAATATTATAGACTTAGCTTTTATTACACGGGACGAAAAAAAGTCTAAATATGTCAACTATATTATATTATATGACAAGAAAGACCTTTTAAGTTTGGTTTTCTTTTTCGAAATAGTTTCACAATTTACACTACGAATTTGTAACGTGATATTTTCAGGTGGACAAGCGTCGCGTCACCCGAGATTTTTTTTTATAATAACTCGGAACGTTGTGACTTGCAACACCGGATGATTGATCTTTTGGAATCGACCTAAGGCGGTGGCGTTGACCTGGCATTGGAGGAAGGGTGATGTAATTTTGATGAAACACGTTTTTTGTTGATTTTTGCATGGCGAATTTGTATTGGAATTATTTTTTCCTATTCATCGATTTTTTAGGTTTTACTGGGTTTATTATCATTTCTATTTTTTTTTTTCTACGATTACAAATTTAAGTTTTTTATTTTAATTTAGTATTCCATCCAAAGATAAATATCTCACATTTACATTTACGAATACTGGATTCGATAATTAATCATATTAACCATTTAAATAACGAAGGTCAAGGCGAGATGGGAATATAATAACATCGTCATAAAATGTTACTACTGTACTTACGCGCTACTTTGCTGCTGGTTGAATATTTTATACGTCATTTATTTATGGACGTTTCGAGAAAATTATTTCTTTTTTTTTGGAATACGGAATCGACTAGGTAATAAATAAAATATTGTATAATTTTTTTATTTTTTTTTACAAGAAAAATGGATTTCGCATTACAAACGTCTGTTATAATATAAAATCCATGGCAGTCTTTGTCGCTCGAATTTTTGAAATTCATTTTATTCATAAAAAAAAAAAAAAAATACGTATAAAATACAGGATAAGTATTCATGTTCTGTAAGGGTGTATTAATTGGGTTAAGAGTGTGGTATGAAAGCCAGAGGAAAGAGAATGCGATTATGAAGCCTGTAAAAGACCGGCGCACCAATAGACGAAACGTACCTGCAGAATACTGATTGAGAATAAAAAAAATGCCCTAGGACAATGGAGACGGGTGCAGTCACTGTTATGAGTAATTTAATGTATATCTGTCAAACATCACCAGTTACAATGGAATAACCTCATAACTAAAAAATGTAAAATCATATTATTTATGCATAAATAATATGATGAATAAAGGCCAAATGACCTTATGGTGAAAAAGAAGAAGTAAATAATATTGATTTAGAAAAAACAACTGTAGATGTATTTGCCGGTTACCTATACCCTAATAATTTTTTTTTCCTTTTTTGGAGCGTTTATTTGTGCAAAAGTTACACATTACAATGTACGCATATTGTGTGCTCTTCTTTTTCTTTTTTTTTGTATCGCATTTTTCACCTTCAATATTTCATATTTGTATGCATTAATCGTTGGTTTTCACGTGTAATACTTTTA